TTTTTTCCAAGTTAAGCCTGATGGCATTTTTTAAAACTTCCCCTCACAGCTGATGTCCTCTGCTCGTGCCACCGCTGGGTCCCAGCAGTGCTGCTGTGGGAAGCTCCAGGCAGGGCACAGCTCTGTTGGAGCCCACACAGGTGGGGCCAGGGGCCTTCTCCTCCATATCCCCCAGGGCACAAGGATCAGGAGAAGGGAGAAACTTAAATTTAGGTGGAAAAAGTCAAAACGGAGAAAAAAAAAAAAAAAGGCAAAATAATAATACTAAGGGGAGGCTGTTGATCAGGATCTCCCAGCAATAACTAAGTTCAGGAATTTGCCAGGGTATCCATCACTTGCCGAATAACCTGAGATTTTTCTGCCAAAAGGGCAAATTACTTTTGTGGATATTTTGCTTATCTGAGCCTGAAGATTGCTTGGAAGGCAGAATATCTGAGACAGGTGAAACACTCCCTTCGTTTGGCACGAGTAGGACTGCCACTGATTCATTCTGATTTTCAGCAATTCTGGGCACAGCCCAAAAGGGCACGAACCGCTGGCAGACTGACCTGCAGCATGAGGGTGTCCCCCAGCCCTTGCCACCACGGCCTCCCACCCTGCTTGTGCACACAGTGGTGGGCACAGGACAGGCACATCCACCCTGATCTCCTACAACCTCCAACAATCTTGCACAGCCAAATCAAACACAACCATCCTGGCCCCCCACCTTGGCTTCCGACACAGAGCAGCAATGGGTGTTATTAACAGAAAAGGGTGGACCACCACCACTTAAAATACACTTACCTACTGCAAGTGAAATTAATAGTCATAAAAAATAAACCCCTTTGAAAAGTTTTCCTTTGCAAATACCTAGAGCATACCCCACCACCAGCGTCAGGAGGAAGTTTTCAAATGGGTAAATGAATGTATCTGCTAAAGGAATCAGGTTTTCTCGTGCGCTCCAAGGTTATGTGTTTAGCAGGCTTCGATACTTCAATGAAAAATTGAGGTGGCAATGATTTGCAGACTAAATTAATGTTAAATACTTCAAAGAACTGGACAAACAAGTCAGCAGCAAAAATTTTATAGGTTCACTTCCTTCAAGGGAACTTAAAGAGCCAGCGTTTTATTGCTGTGAATTCTAGTCACTCCTTTTACCCCTCAGCATCTGTTTGAAATATGGAGTAGACAATTGCTTTTTTGGCTCTGACTCAGGTGGTTGAAATACAGGACAAACAGACTACTGTATATAAGCTTTCCTCCAGCAATGAAAATTTTTATTAACTCTCTTGCATAGCAAACTCGGCTGCCCAGTCTCCAATCCCTATAGAATCATCAAGGAATGTGGCTACTTATTAATTCCGGTGGTCAAGCACAGGGTGGATATGTTGAGACTTGTCTGCAATACGTAACCTCACATTTCAAAAAAATAAGAGGGAGGAGAAAAAAAAAAAGCTACAGAGGGAAGGAAAAACATAAATGAGTTCTGTTTAGTTCATCATTCATATGTGTAAAATTCCAAGCTAAATACTAGCTCTGTACATAAATATGTCAGCCCTGTCAGACGCTCCAGCCAAAGAAAACAAGGCCCGTGGTGGAGAGGGGTTCAGAATTACCCTCAGAGCCATGAACTTGCCCCGCCTTCCATTGCTGTGTCAAATTCAGGGGTTTTCTCACATTGGTGCTTCCTAAAAACAACCTGCAAACGCTGCTAAAAATTACTCTTCTCACCCCACCCAGCTGAAGGACTGGGGAAAAGAAAAGAACAAGGACAAGGGTATATAACACAGAAAGGAAGGTCCTTGATCCCCAGGAGACTTTATTTAGAACGATCCTGGCCACTTGAAACTCCTACATTCATTGCTTCTGCATCCTCCACTCTGCTTGTGTAGTGCTGACCGCTTTTGCTAAGCTTTTGATCCCTGAGAAGCGCTGCGAGATGTTTTCCAGCATTTAAAGTTGAGTAAAACTCCCTCTTCAAGTTGTGGTTACGGGCTAATTTGAGCCTACCTTAGGCTGTTGTGGTGCTTTCAGCCTTCAGTTGCGTTTCCAATCTCATAAATACCTAATAGCAGCAGTCAGCATTTGAAACTAAACACTTGTCATGTATTTTCTACACAAAATAACTCCAACTGTCAGAAATCTGCAGATATTACCAATTTTTGTATTTTTAATGGATACTTAATACATAGATTACCAAACAGCTGGACTTTGATTAAAGCTCCCCTTGAGTTCTTCTGCACTATTTGAGAAAGAAGGCCAGAGTCTACAGCTAGCTGTTTGCTCCAGCTAATTTCCACACCAACAAATGTAGCAGCCTGTTCCCCCAATGCCATAAATCAGAGAATGACTGCAACATGAAGACAGTGAAGAGCCAGCAAGGGCTGCCTATCCCCCCAGTCCTCTCTATCGTGACATGTCCCGTGATGCTGAATCTCCTTGGTCTGATACACCACAACCTGAAGCAATGTCCTTACATCATTTTCTGGTCATCACATCCCATAGGTATCCTCTGACCTTCCATATCTCTCCCAGTTCCTCCAGGGAAAGCACAGAGGGGGACGCTTCTTATCCCTTCACTACAACTGCAGTTGCTGGATGAGAACAATGCGATTCTTATCTCTTCTATTTCTCACTGCCAGTACAAAGCAGAGCTTCCCTTCCAGCTTTCAGCTCCTGCTCCCCGTTTCTCTGGGAGCACAGGCTCTCCAGCACCCTGGTCCATCTGGTGAGCACTCGCTGGGCTGTGGAATGTCAGATCACACAGGGAGCACCCAGCCCTGGCCGCCCCTCCAGCAGCTCCCTTGCAGACAGATAAGATATCACAAGCATCACATGTGGCTCTCTCCCAGATGGTGGCCAAATAGCACAGACACCTGTCCCGAGGCTTGTTTCTGCATGGACAGTGAGTGTCCTGACAGCTCCAAGCACACCAGGTACCTCCTGCCACCATCCAGCAGCAGCTCCCATCTGGGCAGCAGTGGCCACTGGCCTGCAAAACTGCACCCAGGGTCTCTGGGCAGCTCATCAGAAAGCACTGCAGGTGTGCAGCTTCACAAACATGGGACTACTGGAACTCACCCGTGTCCAATTTCCCAGAAGGGAATTGTGCAAAGCTGCAAGCCACTGGACCAAGGAAGGTAAAGCCCCGTGAGCCCGAGCAGACAACCTCAAACCCTCTCTCCAAGCAAAGCCTGCCATGCACAGGCTCTGACAGGAAAGCACTTTGGAGTGCATAACCACTACCAGCTTTTTCATGTCTACCAAGTCATTCTGACTCCAAAAGACAGAACTCCCTCTCCATGAGAAGGTAGGAGAGGGTTAGATGAAAAAAATACAGATTCCTGAGAGAATCTTGTGAAATTGAGATACAAGTCCAGGTTGGATAAGGCTATTTATACCATTTGTCAAGTTTTCCTGAAGTAATTTATCCAAAACAGTCAGAAAACCATGACAGCATCATACAGTAATGGTACTCCAACCAAACTCTGAAAGCTGCCAGTTTACCCAGAGTAAACCCAGTAAATGCCATATCCTACTCAGTAATGAGTACTTGGCCTTTGTCACCAAGTAGGTAAGGAAAGAAAGCAGATGCAAAGCATGTGATCATACAGTTTGCAACCCTCTCCAATACATGGAATGTCAAAAAAACTCAAAGCATACAGAGAGCCCACAGTCAACCATTTAATCCTTTTGATATGGTACTTGGGAGTGACACATGGGATGGAAACCATAGCCAGATATAAACGGTCCTAGATGCAGAAGAATCCATAAATGTTTCAAGAAAACAGGCAGTTGCTGTTTTAGGCAGCAGCATGGCAGGTCCTCAGTTATCAACACAGAGCTCTGGATCTCTACAGTTCCCCACACTCCTGAGGTGTCTGAAGGAATCTTACAGGTTTTACTGAAAATTGTGCTCATCTGTGTCTTAGACAAACCAAGCACTAAATAGAAGTGCTAGATTAAATACTACACATAAATCTCATAATTGTAAAAAGCTAAAAGCAAAAGCACTGTAATAAACTGCTCCCAAGACTGCCTAATCCTGTAGCTCTGAGCCTAAGGATGCACTTGAGTGCTAGCGCTGCCTTACCCAGCTACAGAATGGTTCCTTTTCGTGGAGAACCACAAAATACCCTGAGCTGGAAGAGACCCATAAGGATCATACACCTGCCCCTACAGAGTGCAGGGGATACCTGGAGGTGAGATGCTCAGCTACAGGACCACAACAGGCTCTGCCTGGCAAACGCTTGTTGAGGCTTTAGCACCTTGTGCTTCCAAAGCATCACCCTGAGAAGCAGACGGGTCAGGGAACCACATCTCGCTGTTGGAACACCCTGGTGAAGGAAGGTGGCCTGAGAGGCATCTCCTCACTTTGTCACCCCATCTTGTTCAGACAAAACCCACACAGTGCAGGGGTGGCCAGGGAGGAGAAAGGACATGCAAGGCTGGAGATGGACAAACTAGTTCTATCAGCAGTACGTGACATGCACACAAATACTTTTGATGGGCTGATCTCCACAATTTCTCAAAACTATGTTCAGGCAGCTATTTTCTGGCCAAAAAGCATGGAAAAACACAGCAAAACTCTTGCGCAAAACCCACCTGTTTTGCTCATATTACATTTCTGCATAAAAGTGTGACCTTTTGGACGTTGCCACCTGTCATCTTTCACCCCTTTTATTTTTTTTTCTTTTGGTGCCCTCACAGTTAATTCTCACTTAGGATTCAATTTAAATTCCCAGAATAAAGCTGGATCCCACAGTTTGAATTTGGGATGCTGAGCTGAACTTCAAGGAGTTGCCAAACTAGCAAATCACCTCACCTAGTTGCATAGCTTAATTACATTTATCTGATAAAATGCCACCTTCTTACAGGAGACCCCAAATAACGTGCTTTCCCTAAGATACCCAGAGTCTGATTCATCTGCTTTACTCCTGCCTTATGCTGGTTTAGCACCACTGGCAACAGCAGCAGTGTTACACCGACGTGACGCTGAAATAAATCCATGGAGACACAGACACACCACAAGCACTCCAAAATTAATGTGCTTTTCACTGCTGTTCGTGTACAAACACACAGGGAAAAAAAAAAAGAAAAAGGAATAAAGAATTTTTCTTCTCTTCCTCGCTTTTCGCAAGTTCCTGGCTATCATTCTGAAATGTAGATATTCCCATCATGCCTTGGTGTTTTTCAGCCCCATGATGCCCTCACTTTTGATTGTATAGATGAAGTTGAAGTGCACAGGGTATTTACTGATCCAGTTATCTTGTTCTGTGACAGGCAGAATCAATCAATCAAGGGGCCAGCTTTATGCTTACGTATTCCAGGCACATCTCCGCACTTCAGGATACGAGATCACAGTGTTATCCAGCCAAATTTGATCAACAAATGCAGTTCCCCTGTGCCACAGCAATCTCAGATGAAGATGTTATTATGTGGAACTGAGCAAAGTGATAAAGACAGTACAGAAAAGGGAGGAAAAGTCCAGCTGGACCTTTCTGACAGCCTTTATATACTACAGCAGCAGCATCCTTTTTCCAAGGCTAACAAAAATAGCACATTCCCAAGAAGCTGTTGCAAAATGCTTTCTGGCCACCCTGTATCTATTGGTACTTAATGAAAGAAACATTATGCCACACAGTTTGCTAACACATTCTTAAATACTGGACAACAGATTACACCCCTCGCCACTGTATTTATGGAGATATTTATAACACAGGATCACACACTGTATTTTTCATCACTCTGTTGAGAACAAGCTTATCAAAACCTGAAAGCCCAAAAATATATTTTAAAATCACAGCTGGTTTAAGCAACCTTTAAGTATTTTTATTTTAAATCCCAGCTACAAAAAGATGCAGTTGAATGTGTAAATGTTGAAATCTGTCTCAAGGAGAGTTGACACGATGCTTTTATTTTGCCAACAGCTTTTCACTTTGCTACTGCCCTACAGTTTTTTTTTTACATTATTTAATCCAAAATACCATCTTTTTGATTCTACCTTTCTTTGCATTTTAAATCTTTAATGGGAGCCTTTGGCAGTCCATGGGCACAATTATTAGATATCTGCAGAGAGAAATTGAAAAATTAATCATACTTTCCATTTTGTATTTCAGTACTATACATAAAAATTATCTGGTCCTAAAGCTGCAGTCTGTGGTCTGTCGATATTTTCTCCCCAACACAGTAAATACTATGCAAGAATCCATGTATCTCACATTCAGATCTCTCCAGCTAAACAGTTATATGGAGAATGCCGTGTTCTCCTTTCAAGTGCAAAATTTATTTCAGATCATTTTTCAATTAAAAGGCATCTGCTGCTACTTCTTCTGTTATGGACTGCCTAAAAAATCACAGTAAAAAGTACCCTAGACTAATCATATTGATGATACTGAAGTTGTTTATTACCCTTTTATGGGCTTGGGTACTTAAATTACAGTTTTTCACAACTGTATGCAAAATGGGTAACATAATCCTTATGCAGTTTATTACAGAAACTGATATATGCATTAATCTGACCTTTGTCTAAATAGACCCTTAACCACAGGGAAAAAAAATCCAAAGGCATCTATCAGCATGTGAGCAGTATCAAAACTGCTAAATCTATTAACTTTGTTTTCCTTTCACTATTATTAAACTGGAAAGCAAAATTCAACTGGAAAATTATGCCATTTGGGTCCCCTTGTCATCATGTAATAAGTATGAGAAATATATGTGGAATAGCCAAATGGCCAATAGACAAAACACCCACTCCAAGTGACGTACTGTTTTCCATACCACTCAGACAAAATCAAAACAACAGAGCTGTTGCAAACAAAAACAAAATAACATTTCCCATAAGCATTCCAGACAGAGAAAATTTACAGGAAAAGAAAGCTGGGAAAAGACCCAGAGTGATGTGAGTGTTTGTACCTCCAGCCACAAAACCCGCTTCTGCTGAGCTGGTAAACAACAGTTTAACATTAAAAACACATAAAGGTTCACCATCGATTAATTGTCAAACTTTGGAGTTAAAGATTTACAGCAGCTGAAGGGCTGCTGGTGCTGCTGCCCTGGGCCGGGGGGTTGGATGCTCATCCCTCCTGCCCCCACACCAGGGCAGATGCAGCCAAGGAACGTGCTTCATTCAGAAAAGAGCAGGATCCAGCATGGGCAAAAGCTCCAGTGCTACAGCAAGGAGAGGAAAGTAAACAATCAGGTTGATTGCTTCAGAGTAGTGTGTTCTGCAGAGACTTCAAAAAAAAAAAAAAAAAATCCAGTTTTTTTGTGGTTTTTTTTTGGTTTTTTTTTTTTTTTTCCGGAAAGTCCTTCCAACTCTCTGTGCAGCCTGGCGGAATAACAACTTTAAAAAGTGAAGATGTCGCTTTTTTATAGCTGACTCACATTTATATAACTTTGTTAATGCATCTGCTCCCTGGAAGTTACAGTATCTGTGTTCAGCCGCGATACCTGCCCATAAATCCTGGCAGCGCGGCGAGTATCAACAGCTGCATTTTACTATTTCAGCCCGTCAGTTTACACTGTCTCCATCACGGCGAATTCCTGTCAGCTGCACTCTCGCTAACACAATTCCTATGTTTTGCCTGGCAGTAAATGGACGCTCCTGCCCCAGCATCATCTAAACAACTCTGTTAACATTTGCCCCCGAGCGTCTCTCTCTTTGTCCAGTCCCTGTCTTCTAACAGATGTCATCCAAGTCTAATCAAGCATAAAATGGTCATAAATATTTCTTTCTGGTAGATTTCACATTCGCATTTCATGCAGGGACATGATATTTTTCTGCTACCTCCAGGGAGTACCTAATGCAAAAACCAGTTACTTACATTCAAGGCTCATGTTCCTTTAGTAAAATGCAGCACATGTTCTCAGTTCAAAGACATAAAAAGGCGCAAGACTTTATCTTCTTTTGTTTAACTGCGCCTTTTATTTTTTTTTTTTTTAATACCGTGTGCCACAGCCTCCATCTAGGTATGACATTGTCCTTTGCTTAACAGGCAGACGCACAACATCGAATTCTGACCCTACTACTCTCAAGCACAAACATTTCTGAATTTCATACTCCCATACCTTAATTGTTGCACAAAATATAGATCATTTTTTTTCCTCAGCTATTTCATTTACCAACCTATTTAAAGAATTCACAAGATTAGAAAGGCATCTCTATTTTGGTTCCCTTATGCAAAATTTTGCAACCTACATCATCTTATTTCATTAAAAACAGTTAAATGATTCTAGGATACAAATTTAAGGTTCATGCCTGTTTAACAGCTGATAATCACGAGATGCAAGCAATTTCCACTGCTTAAACTTTGAAACTATTCAAGATAGTCAATTCTTCTTAATGTTAAAATCATCAGAAAAATTATATTTACCCTTGGTTAAACATAGTAAACAATATGTCAGACTGGAAAACAAAACTAACCTCGGATTATTCACAAAGCCCTATGTCTTATTATTTTTTCCCCTTTATGTTTGTCACAGCAGAAATATGCCATGGCTATTTAAACAGAACCACACAACACTTAAGGATATAGATCACAACAGTGAGGCTGTTTTTCCTCCTCCTTCTCCACTGAGCCTAATATTTGATTACTGTTAGTCAAATCAAGCTTTCAGGCAAATAATCTCCATTTTTTAAGTTAATGAGATGTGGTCATGTCGACAACAGCTTGCAGAAACTTTTAATTCCAATTCCTGCAGGCTGTGTTGGCCTCTTTTACAGCAACCACGGTATGAATGAGTCAAATTTGCCAAAATGGCTTATGTAGACAAGTGCACACTTTAAAGAGGCACTAATTAAAAATACCCACTGGTATCATAATTTAAATACCATGAAAATAAACTGTAAAAGTAGCTCAGCTACAATCTTATGACTTTCCTTAGAGCTCGTTTACTTTAACTGGATGATGTTTTATTGCAGATGTATTCCTAGCTAAAAACAATTTTACGTCTTGGAGGAATTCAAGATTTTGATATAATTAAACAATTTATGTTAATATTTGTTTCACATAAGCTATTAAGCAAGCCCCCCAGAACAAGTGCTAATTGAGAAAGATGCAAAGAAGTAGAGTGCTGAAGTAAGCAGCAAATTTATACTGTTGATTTACTGCTCTATCTGCAACTTCCCCCCTCATTACAGCCCTCTTTCTCCCTCTCACTCTGCTATAAGTCTCCCAGCTGTACTGAATCCCATTAAAACACTTTCCTTGGATGCTATTATCTACTGCTTTCCTCAAAAAAGGAAGAAGAGGAAAAGGGAGAAGGAGAGGTGGAGCTTGGCATTATTCTCGATGCACTTCCCTGGCCACAACTTCTCCAAAATCCCTTCTGCTTTTCTGTTTTTTTGGCAAGGAATGTGAGAGGCACAGCTGTAGTGTAACAAAAGGAGACGTGAGACCAAAAATAAAATAAAAAAAAGTTGGTGCTGAGAGGGTTAAACCTATTTAAGGGGTTAAATATGCAATTACCGCTGACTAAAACCAGAGAGACATATAGATAAATAGAAGAAATGAAGTCCCCAGGTTCCATTCAGAAGCCTTCATCACATTACCACCAGACAGAAAACTCTTTAAGTACCATTTTCAGATGTTAAATCATTGTTCGTGCAGCACATATTCTCACTATTCCTGGGGGAACAATATCTGAAGACAGCGTGCTAACAAATGCAATCCAGTAAACAGGCATTTTTCCTCTTGTTGTTAGTACCTTTGTGTTCCAGCTCCCAGCTCTGTCATCCATGCCTTCTCTCTGCTTTGAAGTTAAAGTACTGAATGAGCGTTGTCATCTATTATCCAGAGTGTGCATGTAGATTATAAATAAGAAATAAAAGTGACTTTCAGTACACTGCTTTCGCATTAGCAAGTTGCCTTCTCTGTTACCTCCTCTGTCCTTCATACTTTGCTACCAACATTATATTAAAAATATGACTTTAAGTGTTTCTTATAGAATGCTATAAAATACGTACACAGCAGAGACAGAAGTTTTATTGAAACAAACAAGTCCAGCAGTTTAACCAGGTTCATGAGTTCAGCTTCAGCAGACTGTTTAACCCTTATCTGCAGATGTCCTTCAGGGCCCCGGCACATTAATTGCATCCCTGGCTTCTTTTGCATGCACACTACTGAACACAGAGCTATTAATTACACTGGAGTTTATTTACAGAAAGAGCCTTTTCCACTATCGATCCATTATTTATTAATATTTTCTGGTGTAACGATCTCATCACATTTTTCTTTTTAAGGCCCTGAATAAACACTTTGCACACAAGTAACAGTGCTGACCTATTTCAACTGCATCTGCTTGTACCTGGTCAGAAAACTCATCTCCATGAACATCTCATATGTTAGAGACTTTGAAACATTTCTCACCTGAAGGAAGAGGTGATCAATTAATCTTCAGGTAATCATATCATAGGATCATGGAACAGTTTGGGTGGCAAGGCACCTTAAAGATCATTTAGTTCCAAGCCCCCTACAGGGACACCCTGCACTTCCCTCTGCCTTCAGATGGCTTCACCAAGCACCGCTTCAGGCACCCTAATCCATGCACGCTGCCTAAGTTATGGCAGTTTAGGAAGACAAGGAGAAAGGTGTTTGAAGCCCTGAGGGGTAGTGGGCACCTGGAGAAGGTGGGGACCAAAGATGTGTGTAAAGATCTTTATCCTGGCCCTGCTCCAGTGGGGAATCACCTGGGCCACCTCCAGGCAGGGGCACACTTGATGCAGGTATCACACACCAGCTGCCCAGATGGCCTCAGCAAAAAAACAAACAGGTTCTGGGGAAGCCCAAGCAGAGCCAAAACTGGCTGAGCCCAAAGCCAGCACTGCACAACAAGCTGGAACCACAGAATCACCTCTAGGATCACCAAGTCCAGCTCTAAACCCAGCACTGCCAAGTCACAAAAGACAGCTTTGGGAAGAGTAAGAACAAGCCTGGGAACAATACACTTCTAAATAAATAATAAACCTTTTGCACTTAATAAATTCCTCATCATTCAGCGGAGCATCCATTTTAGAGGACCAAAAGCATACTCATGCACCTAGCTTCCCTTCAGCTCCACATTCAGCTCAAAGCCTTGGCAGACTTGCACAATATTTATGTTGTTCAAGATGATGGGAGCACTGAGACCTGAGGACCAAAGCTCCTCTGGAGAGGGAGTGGAAAAGGCCGGATGGGATACACCGTGCAGGGACTGGTAGTGCCCTGGCTGCCACCTGGAAAACTATGTGATCAGCAAGATTTCCTGAAAGTAAAATCCCTCAGTGCAGCTCCTCTGCAGATGGCAGCAGCTTTGGGAGGCAGAAGGGAAACCCCTTGGTTCTTCTGGCTGGGCAGCAAAATTTGCAGTACATCTGTGGCTGAGTATGGGCTGCTCAGGTAAGGATTCTGCAGGGCAGGCACACAGGAGCTCTCCTTCCCTTCACCCCTCCAGGTGTCCTGGATCTTTCTTCCTTTCATCCTTTTGGATAAACAATAATGATATAAGGAGGTTCAAGCACAGTCCAGTGTTTTTCACTCAGACATATGGGAGCCAGTCCTTTCAAAAATGCTTTCAGTGAAAGGTTCAAGTGCCTGTAAAGACTGGGGCAAACCAGTAATGATTTCCAAGGCTGTCACCTACTGCCTGTCCATAACACCACCAAGAAAAAAAATCAGACAGACAAAAACAGAAGGGAAGAAGATGCACATATTCCTTCCTTCCCTCCACTAGGATAAGATGAAAATGTGATTGTGCTGAACAGTCTTTCATTAGCAGATAGCACATCTGCAGGCAGCTCAAATAGGCTGCAGGGCCTCATCCTCCGTTCCCTTAGGTAAGGCAGCAGTGGATGGTGCAATGTCTGGATGCATATGGAATATCAGCAATCCCATGTCAGTGTGAAGAGCAAGCTGCTGATCCCCCCATTCAGTGCCAGCCCAGGCACAGGAGCTCCCTCCAGCCCTGGGAAAGCACCAAGTGTGAGGCCTGACCTCGTCTTAACCCTGGAGAACGGGGCAGCCCTTGTGTCCTTGGCATTCACTGCTGGATGCCTGCTGAACATATGAGAACATGAAGGGGTACTTTTTCTCTGCTAGGGGCCAGCTTTCCATCCAGCTCCTGTCCACAGGACTGAACAAACTGAGCTCCAGCCTGACTCCCTTACTCAGCAAGTTCATGTCTCGCCTAAGATGACGAACAGGTAAATACTCCCAGGTTTCACGAGTTCATTTAACAAGAGCTGT